CCGCCCCACCCGCCCACGCACGCGCACACACACACACACACACAGGGCTTCAGTGGCTCCAGTCCTGAGCTAAATTTCTGGGGCTGCAGTGCCCTCTTGTGGCCATACATAGATTCGCTCCTTATTCTCCCAAGTTGCACCCTACTTAATTTTGCCCTAGGCTGTGTCCTTTGTCCCCAGGTTCAGGCATCTTCCCAGGCTTGTCATTTACTTCAAGGGAATGTGACTTACGAGGTGGCATCTTTCTCCTCCCTGAAGCGCGGGCGTGGGCCGGACAGGCACTTTCATTGTGATCGACGCCATGATGGACATGATACACTCAGAACAGAAGGTGGATGTCTTTGAGTTTGTGTCTAGGATCCGCAATCAGCGCCCTCAGATGGTCCAGACAGATGTGAGTGGCACCTCTTCCTGCCCTGGCCTAAGCATTGCAGAGCACTCAGGTGCCTCCGAGCACTCGCCCCATACCACAGGCACATTAAAAACATGTTTTTATTGTGTTTTTTTCCTTGTTGTTTTGTTTTTACAGTACCAGGCATTGCTCCCTGGTCTGTTATGTGAATTCACTCTATCCCTGAGCTATATTCTCAGCCTTCTTTTTACTTTCTGAGATTGGCCTGGCCTTGACTCAGCTTCCTGAATAATTGGAATTTTAGACCTGCACCATCAGGCCCAGCTTATAGGCCTGGTTTTGATAGGCAGGTGGCTATAGTCTATCAGCATGCCCAGTGTTAGACCCAGTGTCCCTTCCACTCTGTCATTACCTCCCACAGAGTCTCAAAGACTGGTGACCCTAACTGTTTGTATGTTCATTTGCCGTGGGGAGCAGTTCTAAGCTGCTGGAGCCACCATGGTGGCAGTGGCCACTACTGTCATCTTATTTTATCCTAGACAACCAGTCTATATGTTCATTAATGGACTCTTGCCCTTTAGCCTTCTCTTACCAGCAGAAGAAGCAAGCACTCCACTGGGCCCAGGGCAGACTTGAGCAGCACCCCCTGTCTTCCTACAGGTACAGTACACATTCATCTACCAAGCTTTACTGGAGTATTACCTCTATGGGGACACCGAGCTGGATGTGTCCTCCCTGGAAAGGCACCTGCAGACCCTACATAGCACAGCCACCCATTTTGACAAGATCGGGCTGGAGGAAGAGTTCAGGGTGAGTGCAGCAAGGCGCCTTCCTTGCCCTGGGGTAGGTGGCTGAGGAGCCCAGGAAAATGGTGTCTATTTAAATAAAGCCTTGAGATCAGAAAGTTAGGAGATGGGAGATGGGTGTCGGGTTGTTGGCTTCCAGGAAAGAATAACAGTGCAAACTACATGTAGGATCACTTAGTCTCCCAACGTCAAGGAACTTCTGGAGATGGAGACAAACTTCTGAGCAGGTCCCCCCCTGCCTTAGGTCTGTTATCCTTTGCTCTAACTGCCTTCCTTGGCTGCAGAAACTGACCAACGTGCGAATCATGAAGGAGAACATGAGGACAGGCAACCTGCCTGCCAACATGAAGAAGGCCCGTGTCATCCAGATCATCCCATGTAAGGCAGTGGGCATGGAGGCCTCAGGTCCTGAACCACCCACCTTTGAATGTCATGCTGGACAGCAAGTGCCTCTGGGTCCAGTCCTGGACACTTGGGAGCTATATCCAATGCCAGGAAGAAAGGGATCCTCCTGGGACCCTTTGGGGAATCTTCACAGACCCATATGGGTCTCAGGGGTGCCTAGAATATGGCTCAAAGGCAAGGCTCTAGAGCTTTACATGGAGGGCTCACTGGAACCTAAGAA